GTTGCATGATGTTGCAATATGTTGCATGCATCAAGGGCAGGCTGTGCCTGCGTAAGCAAATTTCACAATGATCAAGACTGACTATTGACATGTGGGTGTCGCAGTTTCAAAAACGGCATACCTCCAGCGCATCTTTGATATGGTGAGAAAGCGAGTGGAAACACGCTTGACAGAAGCTGGCCTCGCTTGCTTGGTCCAATTTCTTGATGATTGGGGTGTCGAAGAAGTTGAGGACAGTGGCGCTTGGCCATTGGTTTGAGCGTTAAATATCAGTGGTTTGTCAAGCCAAGGGTTGAGAGCCACCTCATCATGTTTTCTTCATGTGTGAAGGACCTGCTACTCATCACAAAGGAGGATTTGGAAGAGAAGGGCGTGAAAGTGGTTCCACAGCGAAAATTCCTGAGGCTCCAGGAATCCTTGTCGTCTTCGCACGATCCGCGGGCAGCAGCTTCAGCAGAGCGTCCTCTTCCCAGCTCTCCGATCAGTCCCATCGTGCCGGAAGCTTCTGACTGGTGCTTCCCCGATCTTGACCAGAACTCGTGGGAGCTTCCAAGCTTTTCAACGGACAGCTCGGAGAACGAGTTGAAGCAGCTGGCAGAAAAGCCTGGCCGCTTCACTGTTGGGTGTTTCAAGGTTAAAGATGGAGTTCCTAGATTGATCGAGGAACGGGAGCAATTCTATCGCCCAGTTCAGTGGAAGCTACGGCCAGAGGATGGTTGGAAATTCATCACCATGGAGTTTCCATCCGAGAGCCCTCAGCTAGAACAACTGGTAGAACGATTTCGAGAGAATGGCTTCCCCTATCGTGGCAGATGTTACTTCTTTGTGTCCTCCAGCGACTCGACATTAATCAAGAATCCACAGACATTTTAGGTCAGGTGATGCACGGTGTAGTAGATTTAAGGGCGGATCCGCCATTAATTTTATAGTCACAGCTTACCACAAGTAGAAAGAGTGTCCTGCGATTTGCTCCCTTTATTTTTTCTGTCTACGCCAACCACGAGATCGGATACTGCCCTTGATAGTTCCCATGTTTCCAAGATGCCTCGAGTTTCTATGTAAATGTGTGTTGAGACTCTCTTTACAGTAGGGCAGTTTCCGGATTCTAAGAACTTTGCTCAGGCAAGGCAGATGCATACCCACACGGCCCCAGTGCCTGGCTAGCCAGTCCTCCCAGTGGTGGTCGAGAGCAGATTGACAAGCAGCTCGGCTTTAATACAATTTTCAAGCTCGAGAAAGCTGGTGATGACATACCAAATCCAGGCTTCCGTTGCAGAGCTCGTGTCAAGCAACTGTTTTCTTCGATGATCGCTTCAATTCCGGTCTGCAAGCTGGAGATAGAAGTCATCGAGGACTTCAAAGATGTGCATGGAGTCATTCGAGACGATGGAGGGGGCGAAGCGGATCCAGACATCCTGGAAGCCTTGGCGGTGGCCTCCAAGACATGCCAGCAAGAAGTTGGGTTGTGTCGGTCAGTGACCGATTCAGGACAAATTAGGTGCGCTGGCTTGAAAGGCATGTTGCTTGGCTCAAAGCGGCTGCAGGGGACACGAAAACTCGTTGTGCCACGGAGCATGTTGAAGTTTGGAGGGGCAGAATTCTCCCAGGAACACCTTTCCGTGCTGAATTTCAGCAAGATCCGGCCTACTTCTCTTGGCCAGAATGTGATCCTTCGGTTGGAAGCCTGTGGGTGTGACCCAAAGGTCCTCGTGGAGGAGCAGAAGAGGTTCTTGAGAAAGGTGACTAGGATGGGGCAGGGAGACTTCCGTGAAGGTGCATTCCACCAGCTGTACTTTGACAAATATGAAACTGAGGTGGAGGCAGAGACGCAAGGCCATCATGTTCGAGGTTGGAGCAGCAAGACTTACATAGGGACGTTTCTGGAAATGCTCCTCTCCGGCTTTGACCCATGTCAACACCCTCTATTGGAAGTACTTCTGCGACAAAAGAAGAGAGCCTTGGAGAGGGCCATGAAACAGGTGCAGCTTGGAGGGTGTTGGTCTGCTCGTGGCCACCCAGAGCCACAAGGAGAAGGCAATGACCTGGAGCTGACAGACAATGAGATTTTCTTGATGGTCCCCAGCGAAGCGGAGGACGGGCTTGGGCCTGAGCCGTTTAGCCGTTTTAAGTTGGATCAAGGGTGGGCTCCTAAGGCCTCATGTGGTCTCACGGTTTTGGCTGTAACTTGCGAAAAAGCTACTAGTAGCGTCCTTGCTCCTAGTAATAAGGCCGGAACCCCGAGTTAGTAGCGTCCTTGCTCCTCGCAGTAAGGCCAGGAGCCCCTAGTAGCATGCTTGCTCCTAGTAGTAAGGCCAGGAGCCCCTAGTAGCGTCCTTGCTCCTAGTAGTAAGGCCAGGACCCTTAGTTAGTAGCGTCCTTGCTCCTAGTAGTAAGGCCAGAACCCCTAGTTAGTAGCGTCCTTGCTCCTAGTAGTAAGGCCAGGAGCCCCTAGTAGCGTCCTTGCTCCTAGTAGTAGGGTCAGGAGCCCCTAGTAGCGTCCTTGCTCCTAGTAGTAAGGCCAGAACCCCTAGTAAGGCCACGAGCCCCTAGTAGCGTCCTCTACCAAGTCCAGAACCAGCCTGCGCTCTCATGAATCCATACACCAAACTGGGCTCTCATCCCCACAAGTTTACACGAGCAGTGACCCTTGATGCCGGTAATTGCACCAGCACCATTTATGTCATTTTCGTCACCGCAACACAATTCCCGTCCACTAGATCTCTAGACCAACTGCTGGTGGACACTATTCCAGGCCTCCAGACACCAGCACTTAGAATTGGTATATCATTCTCCGTAAGTTCTTGAGCGGGCGGGCGTTGGCAGAACGCTAAACAGACACATTGACATGTGGCCAACATTTGTTTGTTTGGCCTTTGCAGGAGATCGGGTGGACTGCGTTGACCGGGCATGTCATTGTCAACTACCTATCTGATCGAGACCCTCACGCTTTGAGGCTGGCTCTTGCCAAGGACTCGCCGGCTTTGCGTGCCAAATGTGCTCCTGGAGTGCTCTACTTTTCCAAGCAAGGTCGGCCGCTTCAAGTCAACTTGTCTTGGGACTTTGATGGCGATTACTTTCAGGTGATCACGCAGCAGCGCTTGGTGAATTCCTTCCGTGGTGAGGACTCGGCTAATTGCTTCCTGCCTGAGTTTGAGGCTGAAATGAAAGACGTTGAGGCGAAGAGCCTTTCAGATGTCCACGCGCACTTTTTATCAGAATACCACCTCAAAGATAGGATTGGGCTTCACCACTACCAGTGGGAGATGCTTGCAGGGGAGGGGCCGAAGGCAGCCTGCTCTGACCAAGCCAGACGCACAGCGGTTGCCTATTCAAAATCTTTGGATGTCGAGAAGGGGAAGCCTTGCCCAAAACTGGGAAAATTGGCACGGCAACCCAAGTGGGATTTCATGAAGAAGCCAGGAGGTCCACAAAGACCCTCCCCAACAGCTGCGGGGGAGTGCTATCGTCAGGCACTTCAAGCCAACCAGGAGTTTGATGAAGCAAAAGCACCTAGAAACACGAGCCCAGACCAGGATCTGAGCAAGGCCTGGAAGGAGCTTTTGGATCAACATGGGCCACAGAAGTGCCAGAAGATGAAGGTGCTGGCAAAAGAAGTGCGAGGAGACTTCCTTAAGAGGGTGGCCATCGAGATCAACAAAGCAGAGTGTGCGGCGGGAATGGGCAATTCTTACACCGCCTGCTATGATGAGCTGAGAGGGGAGTGGTTCCTAGAGATGCGGAAGAATGTCTTGAGGCAGGCAGAAAAACAGGACATCACCCCAGAGCAGTTGGCACTAGCCTCGTGGCACCTGAAATATGTGGATGAAGGAGTTTGCACCGAGTGCCGCGATCCAAATCCGAGCTTTCCATGGCTTCTTTTCAAAGCAGAGCTGTCCCAGTGCAAGGAGCATTGGCAGCCATGCTTGAGAAGTGAGCTTTACCAATTCCACGGTGCCATGCGGAAGCTCCAGAGAAACATTGGGGAGGCATCCGCCAGTGAAAGGAAGAAACAGAAGACAGATGAAGCCATTGAATGCCTGAAAGCCAAACTGAAATGCCCCCTGTGCTCAGCTACCAAAAATGAGCTCCTTGACAAGTTGCACATCCCTGGGCCCTTGTTGGAAGCAGCTGCAGCAGTGAAGGGCATCTCCGGGCGAGGTGATGTGGAGTATGTTGACTGCGAACGGCTGCGGTTCGCCAAAGCGCAATTCGGAGATACACTTGAACATGGCAAACAGTCGGGCACCAAGTTGGAGGAGCTGGTCGACCAACTCGTTCGCGGCGAGGTGGCGGTTCGAGAGCTGGTCCTGACTGCTGTCCAATTTCATGGAGAGCTTTATGTTGTGGAAGGGAACCGTCGACTATGGTGCATCAAAGAAGCACAAAGACGTCTTCAAGGGAAACTTGTGGTTCCAGTGCGAGTGCCCAACCTCTACCTGGGATTCATTCACAGGCAGGAGCATAAGGAACCCGCTCTACCTTATTTCTTGCAGAGGTATGACCCAAGGTTTGAGGGAAAACGAGCGGAAGTCTTCATCGAGTCAGATGGACCCCCAAAATTCCAGCCATCAGACAGGACTACAGGCACGTCCACCAGTGAGCTGTCACAGGGGCCCCAGGCACTCACAAGTCCTCGTTGCCCGAAGTGCGCCGCTTGCATGAGTGTGCGAACCAACGGCAGGGATGGCTCCAAGTTCTGGGGGTGCTCAAAGTATCCCGGGTGCAAGGGCACCATAAACATGCCTTCAATTGATTCCTTGAGTTGACGCATCCAGCCAGTCAGCGATTTTAGTTAATGCCCGCGTTGATGTATCAAGTGGTAGGGAACCGCAAATGACTGCAATTGCAACACAGAGGCGGAAAACTGACGAGAATGCAGTGAAATGCGACGTGTTTTACACTTGAAACTACATCGATATGCGCCTTTTGATATCACATCCTTCGGCGTGTGGCAGTTTGCAGCCTCCTAGACCCTTGTATGCTACACCAAGCATTTCACCATGCCGAGGTTCACAGATGACATCACGGTGAGTGTCGATATGATGTTCCAAATGCTGCGGAACATGGGCTTCAACCTTCACTACCACGAAGTGAGGCAAGTCATGTATTTGGTTGAGGCCAGGCCTGCAGCGTCCAGGACACCAAGAAAATCATACTAGCAGCTCTTGCCAACAAAGTGTCAGGGCAACGCTTCTGGCGTGATGAACGCCACTAGGCGGCATTTATGCAAGTTTACCTCAGGCCGATGGCAACTTACCCACTGTATACGGCGTATACGGGTGAAGTGAGTGGTAGTCCTTCCTTAATGCAGCAATCGGGTGAGTGGTGTGACCTTTAAAACCTGCACGGAAACAGACAGCCAGACAGACAGTACAAGCCTGTACAACATAGGAAAAAGCACACAATGAGCAGAACAATTGACATCACAACATAACGAAGTAGACCTTGTAGCTGCAACATGCGCGAGAGGAAGGAAACAAGTGGATACAACTGAGCGCAGGTCCAAATACACAGGCGTGAACATCACAGGAGAAGGCATTCTGTATATACACGGTAGACCGTTTGCAACACCTCTTGGTTCATCACACACACAACGGGCCACAACACAACAGCGACATCCAGTCCAAGTGAAATAGCAACCTTGCTGAGCGAGACGGGACCGTTACAAGCGCACTTGCAATTGCTTGCCAAACAACCACGCTGCCCGCTCAGCCAAGAAAAGGCACGCCAAAGAGTCCTGAGAGCGGACCTATGTTGGAGGCCACCCAAATCAAGCATAGCTTTGGCATGGCCTGGCATGGCTTGGTGTTTTTTTGGTGACAGTCGGTTGAGAAGCGCCAACTGTACTCTCATCATGAGGTTCTTTATTGGGAGATGTCCAGATGTGAAGGTGTTCTTAACTTCGAATCGTCACCAACATCGTTTACCTCCTGATGAGCTCAAGCTATTGCAAATAGCGGCTCAAAAGACATGAAGATACGTTGAGGTAGGCTTTGTGGGTAGGGCACCTATACATGTGTGCATTTGATCTACAATGATCTCAACCTTCCATGCTGCCCAAAGTGTCCCCTTCTCTCTTTAAACGCTGAAAGATCTGAACAGCTACGATGAGGAGCAGGAGTTTGTTCGCGCTGTGGGCCACCTCAAAGACACAGAGCTTCGCCAGATGTGGAAGGCGCTTGAACCATCCTGACATGCTGGCACACTGTCGGAGAAGAAACAATTCGGACGAGTACGGATATCGCAGCGCGGTCAGCTAAGCAAGGAGAATCGGTGATGCTTTCTTGACAGCTTTACGACAGGTGGTGCATGACACACCCAACACTGAAGCTGCTACCGAGTTGAGGAAGTTGCCTCTTGGATAGTTGATATTTTTATCAGTTACTGTAATCATATGATGTCATCCTGCTTGCCATTTTCAACTGGGCCACACTTACATCAGAAGTACTCAGTCCCTTTCCTGAGGTTCGAAGCCGAAATGGGCGACCCTGGAGCAGATCAGGTCGGTGTTGAGGGTACAAAGGCACGTAAATATAGTTGTGTATATACAATATATATATATTGGGTCTGTCCTATTACCTGTAACCGTCAGTAGACAATTATTACTATTTTTGAACAAGGCCTTTACTAACCATCATCATCCATTGTTACAGGTATTAGGATAGACCCAATATATATATATATATAGCCTAGCTATATATATATATATTTATTTTACCAATGTATACACAGATAACTATATATTTAAACAAGCACCATTAATTGCTATACTCAAGGTAGCCATGACTCAGAGCCCAATTCTCTGAAGTGCTCGTGAGCCATTGAGCTGCATAGATGCCCTCAACTTGCGAAGGTCAGCTTCATGAACTTCATACCCTGGGCGATACGAGTACGAGAGAGCCAAAGAGACCAGGTGAGGAACCAACATGGCTTTGGCAAGGACAGCAGCCTTTGAGTCAATTTCTTTGCTTTGTTTCCGAGAGAAGTTCATGCAGGATGCCAAAAAGCAGAGTTTGTTGCGAAACATGACCCCAGGAGGAGGTTCAATCTTTCCGAGAAGATTTCCAAGCCTATGCGCGAGGCAATGCAATTCGGCCTCTCGACCTCAGGCTCCGCTGAAAATTGAAGGACACAGGTTGGCATACGGATGTGTACGGTTTAAGGCTTTGTTGCAAGTGTTATGGAGCACTGATGTGGAGCGAGCAGCGGCAGGCGGCTTTTGACAGAGAAGTTTCCCATGTTGGCTGACAAGAGTGCCATGAAGGAGATGATGAATGGTGATGAATGGTGGGCAGTTGCCAGTTTGGTAGCAGGTCGGCGTAGTTGGCGACAATATGGACTAGTGATTGGTCAGATGCCCATGTATGTCCATGCTGTTTTTGATTGAGACAACATTTAGACTCTTGCAGCCAGTCCACAGGCGCACATGCACGCACAATCACACACGTTGAATGATCAGTGTAGCAACTTGCTGTGCCCACTTGTTCTTTTGTGCACATCGCGCAGACCATGATGGCCCTTTGCAGGACAATCGAGCAAAGCTTAGCCCCTTGGTCCAGCGCTTTCACAGGGTGGCTTTACTAGGTCCTAACTGACATTGATTTTTGACTCATCCACTTTCATGTGGCCGTGGCTGCCATTGCATTCTCTGACCGAGGCGAAGTCTTGGCTGACAAGGGTCCTGTGAAGCTTCTGGAGTTTTTGGCTTTGGCACGGATTTGTGACTCGACTCAACTAGACTTGCTTTGAGAATTCACCTAAAGCGCACAAAGCTGGATTCTGGTAATGTAGCCAAACCTATCAGATTATCCAAAAACTTGCTTGAGCAACCGTAAGTTGCACTTTCCGCTTGCTCCATCTCCATCACATCATCACACCCTGCAATGTCAATCTGGGAGGCTCTAGACTTCATGCTGCGTGCGTTCAGAATGACACCCGACATTTTCTCCTTCCGCCAATATGTAGCACATTTATACACATGTCCATTCTTCTCAAGCGCTGAGGGGTTGTATATAGTTCATTCATTGATGCTTTCATCAAGCTCCCAAGCTCAAAGATTTTACTGGCTGGTTGTGTAGTGATCCTATCACTTACCATGGTGGTGTACTATCGGCCCGAACCAGAGACTCGGCAGTCAAGGCCATGACATCATTGAGTTGGACAAGCTGAAAAAGGAAAGGGATACCATTCAGAACTTTGGCTGTTGATTAAGGTTGCAGCCTTTGCATTGCAGACTAGGGGTGCCTGAAACAGCGTTGCTGTGCAACGTTTTTGTTGAACGCAATTGATGCCAGAGATGAGCCATGCAGCTCTGAGCTGTACTTGTCACAAGTACAACACAGCAAATTGATCTTCAACACCGGTCTTGGGGTTCTCAGCTTCTCAGGACCACCGGCTTCTCAGCTGCAGAGGTGGACGAATTTCGTGGCCTCTTCATGGAGCAAGCGACCAGTTCCGGCCTCCCGGGGAGCTTCCGGAACCGCATCTCGTCACGAGTCGTTGTCATCTCGGTGTGGTCCTCGCGTGAGACAACGGCTTGGCATTCTTGGTATGAAGAAAATACGCGTATTTTTATGTATTTTCTCCTATGGGGCAATGGCGATCCACTTGCCTGTAAGCCGGGCCTGGGTCCAGCAAATGGCACTTCTCTTGTCTTGAATGGATGACCAGCACCACCTAGGCATCGTTTTCAGCGAGCTCAAAGCGTGGCTTGTCAGACGACGCTGAGCAACCATCGAAATTGATGGTCTAAGATATTAGAGGGATCTTGCACGATATGTTCTTCCTGAGCCGTTCCCTCTTATGTTCAGAAGCGTGCCAAGAAAAGCATAATGCTGAGGTTGTTGAAGAATGTGATACCTTTGGGCGATAACAATGTCCAGGCGCTGGTGCATGTGCACATGCAACGCTCAACCGTGCGCAGCATGGAGCCGATCCGGCCGCAAGACAACGATGGTGATCCGATTGCGGATTGGTTTTTAGATGGTCTTTAGTGTTGGAGAGCTATGCCTTACACATGCAGGTCTCGCAGCATTCCTCCGCCATCCATCATGGCTCTCACCCCAGCAAAATGTCTTGGCAGGAATTGAAAAAGCACATCCGCATTGTGCGCAAGCATGCCGGAGAGGACCAGCATTCACGAATTGAACGACTACAATAGCAACGGCAACCTAGGATCAGCAATCTGCAGATTGTTGGAAGACCATGCAATGCCCTGCAATCCCTGCAATGCCCTCCCTGTTCTTGTTGCGTCATGCTACCTGGAGGACTCAGTGAACTTTACCGAATTTCTTCATCTCATGCGATCAATGTTGGATTCCAACTTCGCTGGAATTGCGGAGCTGAGTTCCACGGCAGCTGTGTTCCAGTGTTGAGCCATAACCACTAAGATTTGCATTTGAGCTCTAAATATAGTACTGAGTACCCTTTTCACAACGTATTTGCCGACAAGACGTTGCAAACCGTTAAAACAAGAACACTCTGAAATGCATAAGTACAAGACAGTTTAAGTATGATGGCATCACTAGCATCGCCAGTGGCTTTGCAGCACCACACATCAGCAGCGATCGTTTCAACCGCTTCCCGATCCGAGGCAATAAAAAGCGCGCGGAAGATCAGAAGGACTTGTCCTGAGTGTCGAGCCAAGATGACGATCTCAAAAGGGCTGGTGCTGTTAGGCACGTTTTGCGCGTTAATGAAATCATGGCTGCCAGCATTGTGGGATCACAAGGCGCTGGCCTTACCAGGAGAACTACTGTATATAATTCGGGAGTTTTGGATGATATCAGTGCGGCTGTGTGTCACACAAACGCTGAGCAGCTGTCAACATGTCACGTACCAAGTAGCTTGCCCCAAAGGGGCAATGGACTCAGCAGGGTTGACTCGGCCTGGTTTTGCGCAATGGCAGCAGAACCAAGACATTCAAATCTGAACCTTTTTGGCAGTTTGTATCACCACTTTCCCACCTTGGTTTAGTGTCATTGCTTGTTTTGGGCAAAAAGTTGTGTAAACATGCCGGAAAGACAGGCCGTGTCTCAATCAACTGTGCTTGGCTGCTAACGGAATTATAAAGAGGACAGGTACATTGGTAGAGCAACATGCAATTTTCTCAATGTCGCGTTGGACAAACCATCACAGAGATAGTCAGAGATTCTGTACATGTTCTAGGGCATTGTATGCCGCCAAAGTTAGACAGATTTCAAATGTTTACAATTGTACTCCTCAATGAGAATTGAGCCACTGCAGCACTTGGGAAGTCAATGACCTGAAAGATGCACGACTTAGTTCGATTGTTTTGGTCTCCACATTCCAACCACAATGCGATATATCATGATATCATTTGTTTGCATACAGATGGAAAGAGCGATCAGAGCGCTTGTGCTGTCCGATCGAGGCCAGTGGCGGAGATGCCCTTCTCAGCTCGCTTCGGAGTCACCACGAGTGTCTTGATCTTGGGAATGGTCAGGAGCTGAGCCGAGTCCGCTTGGTGTGGCGGTTCCAACCGCTTTGCGCGCAGAGGCGTGGGACGAAAAATGGGAAAAAGCCTCGCGCAGTCGCCTTTCCAGGTGATGATCTTTATATCACCTTTCGACGAGGTGCCAATTGTTCGCGCTGAGCCTAGATCTGTGTGAGAACGGCTAGCTGCGAAAGAATGTCATACAACGGTTGAAGAGTCATCCTGCTACAGAGCAGGTGGAGAAAGAGAAAGAGAGAGAGAGAGATCACACGGAGGTCAACGATAGAATGCAGATTCCTTTTATGCTCTTTTGTGCCTGGCCATGAGTCTCTGATTGATTGTAGACACCGACGCGGAAGTGACAGTGAGGTAAGCCATGCGCAGCAATCTTCACCAAGGGCTTGTTGCTGCCAGTGTTTGGCCCATGCCTTACTGAAGTTAGGCAACACATGGTGTGACAATATGTATGCTCCACTGCATCCAGGCCGTTGTCATAGAGGATAGCATTGAAACATATTAGAACCAAGTTGGACCTAGCCGTTACTTCGTTTTTATAGGCTAGGTGTGTCAAAGGCCCAGGTGTGTGATGTACACTCTGTTTTTTTGACCTTCACTCCAGAACAGAACAGAACCATTCACTGACCTGACAACCCTCCAGACCTTGGTGTCAATTGATTGGCAGGCTTGCTGATAGTGGGCTTGTGCAACGAGGCCTCGACCTTTGGGATGTTTGGGACTGATCCGATCCCAAGACAACAACCTTTAGCATCCTTTGGCCTCCACCTTGGTTGTCAAAGTCCCATGCGTGATGTGGGAGTGTGGAATGTGCACGAGTCGCATCGAGTCTCTAGTTTGCTTTGTTTGCAGCGCAACTCCGGCCACCAGAATTCAATCGAAGGCAGATCCTTTGGCACGCTTGATTGGCCGGCCTGTCTTCAGCTGGGCTTGGCGCACAGAATCAACGCAAGGGGGCAGCGACACCTGGATCACACATTTAGAGGTTACAGCCCGTTCCATGTTGGGGCCATGCCCAGTCCAAAGACTGAAGGAAAGAAAGGGTTTTGAAAAGCAGAGGCGGGAAGGCTATCACTTTCCATGTTCCTGCTGGCGCTGCTTGTACCTCAGCAATGCTTCCACTCACAGCGCATCCATCAATTTCCAAAAAACACGGACTAAACAAAGAGGGCCCATGCTTGCAAGACTTCGGGGTGTTTAAATTAAGTTGTGCTGGCATTTCTGTCGCAGTAGCACTTTGGACCACTTGCTTAGAGCACTCAATCTGATGAAGCTCAAGGTGTTCGGGGAGTTCTGTCATTTTCGCACCAAGGCCCGTGCGTATCGTGATGAAAGTGTGGAACATGCCTCAGTGTTGGTCGTGTTGATCCTTGAGGCTTTTAGTGTTTGAGACACGGTGAGACGCATCGCTGAGCTCAGCCCAGAGATCCGTTCCCATCCTTTTTGAGGCTTGGCATCAGCAGTTTCGGCCTCGTCTTCCTGGCCTTGCTTGCGGCGTGACTTGGTGGTGACCGTGAATAGCAAAATTGATTCATGCAAGGTATTATCTGCGCATATTTGCGCAACTCATTTGCATTGCTGCTCCGTGCTTGCACAAGGTCAGTTGCAGGATACTTCTTGATTGAAGTTCCATCGAATCTCAGCTGCATTCCACCACACATAGACACTTAGACGTTCATTCCTTTTGCAGCGCTTGCTTGGAATCCGCGATCCCGCTGATTGTGTTTCTACTTGTGTGGGGCAGCTCAACGGAAGTACTTACCTGCAACAGAGTAGCTGATCCCAGGAGAAGATTTGCCAGTTACTTAGCCCTCTTTATGAACCAAAAGGCCTGCGGTTGGTTGAAGATTGAGCATTGGATAGCCATTGTAAGAAGCGCACTTGAAGGAGATACCAAACTTTCGTGAGATGCTGAGATTTGTTTGTAATGTTCTACCTGTCTTGATGAGATTTGCCTGGAAAGCCCCTTGCAGGTGCAAAAGTGAGAACCAACGGGCGAGAGCGAGGCGGAAAAGATTTGGCGCCGCTTTTCAGCCGATGAGCTCAAGCTTTGCCGGAAAGAGGTCATTTGGCGGTGTAGGGACGGGTGCAGAAAAAGTGAAGATCCGGGATTTGTAGTGTCAAGCATCTCATGTGTCAACCACAATCTGTTGTTTAATTCTTTGTTTTTTTTCCGCTAACACTTGGCGGAGTGTCCCAATTTTCTGAAAAAGACGATATAGTGGAGAAAAATGCACTACGGGCACACATATGCAGGTACAAAGCACAAACTGCTGTGAATATACACACAGTGTACCGGTGTACATGCACGCGGTGCCAACGCCGCTCACCGCTTTAGTTTGCTCAAGTGTTGTGGGCCCACCAGCGCTGTATCCACCAGCAAGGCTTGGTGGGGCCGATGCGAAGGGCAGTTCTTTCTTCTGCGTCAGGGTTTTCTCATGGGCAAGCGGTGTAGTAGCCAGATTGGAGGTACATGTGTTACATTATATATATATATAGTTGTTGGCTGCTTAATCTGGCCATTTGTCAATTTGTGGGCAAGCAGAGTCTTGAGAGTGAAACTTGCATTTCACGGGAAGGCCGTGACATGCCCAGACTTTGACATATGCTTAAGTAGCCCCATTAGTAGAAGAAGCTATGTTGGCTGACTGCTACAGTACAGGCTGGTCGAGAGCAGAGTCATTATCTGACCAAGACCAGCCATCATTTGTGTGTGAGATCGAAGTCTGCTGGGCCAATCTTTTTGCTGTGCTCAAGCGTAACTTCTCTGTGTGCAATCCGACAAGGGCCACTCATTCCATTTTTTCCAAAGAAGGTTTATTGTCGGCTCATTTAGACATCCGCTAGTCCAAATCATAGATGTCCATAGAGCTCACATCATTGAACCAGCTGAGTTTGATACGGAAGTTCGGTTGAACCAACCATTTTAAACTAAATCCATCACGTCACCGACCGAGCACATCTAAACATTCTTCGCTTTCCCCACTCATCTCGCTGAGCGATGCTGGGTGGGGAGCTTTAGGGTGCATCGCCTCACACCGGAAGGCTGGGATATGGAGTTTACACTCCGAAACCCTTGAATCTGTTTCATCTTGCTTGGACGTTCCATAGAGCACTAGGACCCTTCTGATGAGCATGTTCTCGTCGGAGTGTTGGACTGCTTGCACGAACATCATCCTGGATATGTTTCGAGCAAGCCAAAGCCGCATTTCTGTGTTGAACTGCCAGAGCCAGGGAAGCTCATCCTTCCAGTTTGATGCATGGTAAGGCTGGCGACTGCACCAATGGACCTTGCGACTGCGCAGAAGGTGCAACTGTTGGGCTCGAACAGACGAGGTCTTATGGACCTTGATAGACTCAGGGCAGCCAATGGATCATAGTCTTAAAGGAGCATCCAGAAGATGGTCCTTGTTTTGATTACGCCGAACGAAGTCTATATATGCTCCACAGTCTATATATGTTCCGACGTTTGAGTTTGAATTTTTGCAGTCGTTCACGTGGTTTGACGCACAGCTTTTGTCGTTGGTCAAAACCAAGCTGCTGGAAGTGTCTTCCCTTATTATATACATATCGTTTACAGAGGTAGCTCCTGTTCGAATGAATTTATGATAGTCTTTACGTCATACATGTATGTTCTCATGATCCAGATGCTGCAAATGTGTGATGACTTTAAGAAACCAGGTCCTGCAGGAATTCCTCATCAGGCAGGAAGGCTCCTTGATTGGAATGACATAGAATGGCTGCTTTGAGCTCTTTGCCTCGCCAACATGTTAGAAGCAGAGGCCCAGGTGTCCCTTTTTGGCACTTTGGCACCTGTCACAGGCATCACAATTGCCGATTGTCATACCATGTGATCCTTTGGAACTTCAAGTCATGCCTCAGTAAATGTCCTCTCTAGCGATTGGATCAAAATAAGGTGCGGCTCGCATATTTTGAACCTGCTAGGCGGATAGTTGGTGTTTTTCCTGTGTGAGCGAATCCTTAAGGCTCCACCTTGCGAGCATGGATACACAAACTGGATCCAGACCATGAGCACCGGATCACGGAGATGTATTTTTTGAGAAGCTCAGAGTGCACACTATGTGAAATACACCCACAACCTGTTGACCACGGGTGGGGCAATGGGGGAAGTTATTATCGTGGACGCATAGCATCCCATTGC